GTGACCCATGAGAAAAGACTGTCAAGGCTTGGGCCATTATAAAAATAAACACGCAAAATACTAGATTCAAGTAAATTGTACTTCATTTAAATTTTTTTTTTTTTTTTAAAAATCACATCAGATGTCAACTCAAGGCTGTTCATTAGTTTGGTCTCCATATGGAACTTCTCAACAGTTGCCTACATGTGAAAACCAAAATCCCTGATGAGTCTGATTTGTATTTGAAGTTAAGGAGAGGGATTTTCACATTAATATCTCAACTAATTATCCATGACAGAATTACAACAAAGTGTATTACAGTAGATGCAAATCTGTCAAACCAAAAATGTAAGTGGCATGCAAAAATAATGTGGTAGTTAATTTGCAATTATTATAATGGACCCACAAGACCCAACCACTACATCATTTAGAAATTGACAAACTGAATGAGCTCATTATTCAACGCTAAATATTTTCCACTTGCAGAACTTTGCTTTCCCAGAGACAGATGAAATGCGTGGCTGGCTGATAACATGCTAGCATTCTTGCTGTTGGTAGCACCGCCTAGCAGCGATGCACAGCAGCTATGGTAGAAATGCAGAGACTAGGCCCAAACTGCAAGGCCAGTCGTGGTACGTGTAAATAAACCATTGGTAACCAAAGTGCAGATTCAAGCCACGCGAAAAACACGGCTCCCTTCATTTACACCAAAGACAAACGATTCATTTGTCCGCTACCATTGATTATGTGGATGTAGCTAACAGCTGGATGGTGCAAGTCGACGCAAATGCATGCTAAGCTGCATGCAAACACTAGCCAGTAGCCAGGTTTGTTTAAGTAAATCTCGCTTCCCGTAGGAACATGGTGTCTTCTGAGCGCGGTGAGGCAGCTAACTCTTCAAATATCTTCAAATACGTGCAGCTAAAAAGACAAAAAACAGGCAATGATGCTTGTGTGCAAAGGCCTCGACTGACTCCCGTGCAACATGACGCTAGCTTGCATGCTAACGTAAAGCTAATAAACAGAGCTATCTTGCACAGTCCAGGCAATTTCCATCATCTTAAGAGATTCACCCTGGCCTCATTTATTGTGCCGTTTTTAGACAAACGGTAAATTGCAAGCTCGGTGCAGTAGGAATAGTCCGCAAATTTATTATGCAAATTAACATAAACCACCCCAAAAAAAAAATAAAAAAACCCACCACCAATTATCTAGATCACGCTTGGGCAAAATGCATTAGAAATCTCAGTCGTGCGAGTATGGCACCACCTCCACCTCGTGATTTTGATTTCACATTTTCTCTACAATGTAACGCTTCCAAAAAAAAATATACATATGTTGCATTAAATGTATCTCCTTTCTCTTTAATATGTATCAGTTCTTCTTGTTGATGTCTGTCAGGGGGGCTTGCTGTGAGGGGGTTTGCTGCGTCTGCACTCTTCGCAGTTCCCTATCAATCCAGTGAATGTATCTACCGGGGTCTGTGTCCAGGCCTGCACACAGGGAACAATAATTCCTATGGATGCTCCAGACATACCCCCACCTCCAACCCGCCAGGTCCACCTAAAACCCACGTCTGTCAATCACACAATTCATATCCCCAAACCATTTTCCCTTTCTCCACCCCGCCCACCCCCACGACACGCACACTGCTCCGATCCTGTTTATAATATTATTACTATGCAACTGTTCGGATGACAATGCACTACACATAATGGCAAGGCATGGCACTATATACATGAACCCCGATGGCGACAATTTGTTTACATGGGCCACATCGTGTCCTGCAAAGTACCAGTGATGCATGCACATTGTCTGAATCCAATGCATACCTTGCTTTTGCCGATCTCTCGTAACTCCATCCTGCTCCTGCGCCCAAATCGCCAAATCCTGTTCCCGGGTAATTTCTATCCATTTATGTGGTGTACAATGTGTGCGATGAGGACGAAAGCAACGAGAACGTCGCAGAGCAGATTACGGAAAAAAAACCCAGTCTTTCCCGTTCTCGGTTTCAGGCTATTTTCCCCGGTTTCATAAGCAAGTCCTCAGGAGTGGAAAACAGCATATTGAAAGAGAAATGGAGGGGAGGAGGAGAAAGCTGGATGAAAAAAGAGGGGGGTCTACGGGGTTATAATCCAACCACCTCCAAAAAAAGCCAGTCTTTCTCCTTTTCCTACGCCTTTCACGTTTATCATTTCCACGAATGCAGATTTAGTCCAAAATCAGTCGCGGTCATGATGAAGATGCCTCGGATTCCGCCGGCGATGGGCGAATTGCTGATAAACATTTGATTTGAATGCGTCCTTTTTCACCGTCTCTCCTCCCCTTTCTTTAGGCTAGTCTTTGCTACGATGCTAGCACCAGAAAAAGATTGCAATCGACGGGGCCACGTTGGTACCAATCATTCCTCGCAGCCGAGCCAAAGAAAACCCCCAAATGTTTTTTTAAAAAAAAACCCTTCTTTTTTTTTTTTCCTCTTTCTTTTCTGTCTCTCTTTTCTTTGCATGCAAATCGTTCCCACCCCCCCTCTGGAGCAGAGCTGTGGGCAAGCTAGCAGCAGATGCTAGCTGTCAGTAACGACGCATCAAAATAAAACAGGGCTGCTTTTTATTTCCCCAAATGCTCGCTCCCCACATTTCTGCTTTCTTTAGCCATTTCGAGTAAAAGCGACGACGAGTTTTCCCCCGCACACCTGAAAAAACGACAGCGAGAATACTACACACATATATATACCGAATGAGGAAGAAAGCAGGCCGCGTTTTATTATTTTTTACTCATTTTCCTCCGGAGACGCCATTTTTGAAGGCGGCTGGCCGCTGTCCGTCCTCCCTCTCCCCCACTCTTGTCTCACCGCTGAGAGACTCGCTCAGTGTCTGCGGTGACCTCCATTCACCGGCCCACACTCTGCCAGCCAGCCCTGCACGCTCTTCCAGATTTTCATCTCATTGATGGACTAATTATTAATTTAGGCAACATTTTACACGAACAAAACAAAACAACAAAAAAATAGTCAGCTGTTTGTACTGAACGCTGCCATTGGCTGAAACGCATTTCGAGTGCAACAATATTTCCAGTAATAACCAGATAGATAGGCCTCTAGCAGCCACTTTGCAAATGCATATCCGAATTGTGCAGCCTCTTTGGGAGACATTTCCTCCAATCAGATGCCTAATTAATTAAATATAATAGCCTATAATCGGCATGCCTATATGGGGTATTTCCTCCCTTCAGATTAGCCAACATTCTTAGATGCCAAGATACCAAAACCTGTTTTAGGCCCCCCTTTTTTTGTGTGTGTGCTAATTTTAGTATTTGAAGAACCTGTGCCAGACCCCATATGCACTTGATTTGTTCGCCAGCAGATGGCACACTGGATTTTATGGTGATTATAAAGGAGGAGGAATCACTGGGAGGTGACACGGAGCGATGACTTGCTCTTGCTCCTATTTCATATCTTTGGTATTGGACCAGGGTTTTCTGAGGCACTGTAATTGGCCTGAGCATCATATTAACCTGTTAGTATCTCAGATTGCACACATCAACCAAGATGAGGTGTTAGAAAGGTGTTGATGGCATCAAGACTAGCTATAATACTGCTGAATGTAAATGTGATGTCTTTTGTTTGAAGGTAATAATGACACATGATGAAAAATAATCACTCCAGAGGATTATTTGTGCAGAAATTCATCATTGTGTGTATCACTGAGTGTTTGTTGCCCTCTAGTGTCAAAGTTAAATAACTAAAATACTGTAAAGACTCAGCAGTGACCACAGCATTTTATCACTTTAAACTGGGAGACAAACCTTCTATGTTGTGTCAAACTGCACCGTGGACACATCTTCTCAATACCTCTTGTATTATGCTGACAAAAATTATATGACACTACATTATACATTACATTATGTGACTTTAGCATCTCTTGATCAGTCGGTCAGTTTGCTCTGTGTCATTGTGAATGAGCTGTAATTGTAGAGAATGAAGTGATGCAGTGGTATATCATCTTTCTTTGATTCAGGTAAACCTTACTCAAATACATACATTTAAAATCTATCCAAACCATATAGCTTAAATTTATGTAACATTTACCTAATCATTATATATTTCATAAGAGGTTGAGTAAATTAATTATCCTTAGACTTTCAGGACCCATAATTATTAATAAACTCTACAAAGTAAGACTAAGACTAGGATTAATGTATGTGCTACAGATAAAGAAAACATCAATGGATGATTTTCTCCCACTTAAATGATGAATGATGAAAAAAAATGTATTATGTTTAAAGGAGAAAATCTCTTGCATATGCCTAGAAAGTTTTACAATTTGAATGTTCAAATGTAGCAGATGTGTGATGTAAAACGTTTGACTGTGGAACAAAAAGTTACCCAGTGTTTAATGCTGTGTAAATGTACCTACACCGTCAGGACAGGGTGAGTTGGATGTATTAATTAATTTATTAATGCTACCCACATCTGCTTTTATTTTCATCTTTAAAAAGATAAAACATTCTGGATTACTTTCAAACTATTAGTTGCTATTTATAATGGCGTCTACAATGCTAACGCAACATTTTATTAGTTAAACAAATGCTACTGCTTTCAGCTCAAGCTCTTAAGCCAACAGTGTGAAACAAAAGTCACTCTCCCAAATCTCTTTGCAGGAAAAGGCCCTCCCCTGTAGTGACTATTTTAGATGCATTATGTGGCCTTTGTAATGCGTAATGATTGACTCAAATGGTAAGCCACCTGCATATTCATTAGAAAGACTGTAAAACAAAGGACAGGAATAAAAGAATTTAAGAATGCCTAGATTATATAGGTTGATGTACATGAATGGGAGAGAATATGAGAGACAAATGTAAGTCAAATAAATAGTAAGACTATAAATTAATGTAAGAATTTCAAATCAAATTTAGATTACTCTCTTACATATGAGTAATTTTCATCAGATTCTTTGGAGCTTATCATACTCAGTCAGTGTCATGCCCACTCCCTCCCTCCTTCCTTCCAGCTCTGTAACTAATCTGTAACCATACTTGACTGCAGCTCGTGCAGCAGCACACCGCCACAAACTCCAGCTGTCTTCTGTGAGAATGCCAGACTCTAACGAAGCTGTGCCAGCATCGTGCCAGGTTATAAAAGATGACGTTGACAAATGGTGAGTTCTGACAGGAATGACTTAGATGCTGAAAAAGGTATTTATACAAATAAACATATACTTTAAGTTGTAATAACATTTTCTCCAGCCAGTGTGACAGCCTTTGGTGAGTGTAAGTGCCTGTACAGAGTGTTTGTAGACTTTTGTACCCTCAAGGACGATTAATTAACTGTGGTTGGGTTCCAGATAAATACTGGTCACTTTTCATTACATCCTTCTAACCATTCTGACTCATCAGCTATTGACTTAACTGTGCATTAAATTCAATGTAATGACATTAACTTCTCATCTGGGCTCAACTTGTAAGAGCACCTGTGAATCATTAAGTCTAATTGGAGTTAATGTAGAATACATGTTTACAACTGTCATTAAAAACCCACTCTACATCATTGGTTTAAGTGTAATGGTATTTACAGTAACATAAATGTCTTGAGAATCATAAATAGACCTGAGGTTTAAAATAGGCTTCTACATGTATGACCTATTGCAGAGGACCGGCACATACCAGGCTGTTGGTTCGTGTTACGTGCAAGAAGCGACAGACACTTGGTGTGTGTCCACGTGCGGTGGTGATTAGTGTTAGTAGAGCTGCTGTACAGATTACTCACTCTTGTACTCGTACTTTACCGACGCAGATAAGAGCAGCTGTGGGGGTTTGAGTTGAAATACTTCATTATCAGGCTATACTGCGATAATCCCTTCAATGCGCACATGATCTAAATTTAGATTTATTCTTAACAGTACGTCCTCCACAGTTTCAGATGATACTTTTATTTAACATGTCTCCACATTTACATTGCGCAATTTTAACTGGCACCCTGTTGCATGCCAAACAGAATAACCTTGCTACATGTGCATAGAGTGACAAGTGTGTTTTTGTGAATCTGGCTTTGTGTTTCAGTGTCAGAGAGAAAGGAGCAGAGAACTGTAAAGATCTGATAGATGCCTTCCAGGCCTGTATAAAAACCCTGTCTGAGGGAGCATAATACATAAGGAAATACATCTTAATAAAATGTAAGTTCACACAAATAAAACAAAATATTATCATTCCTGAATAAAGAGTTCAAAACCAACCATGACACATAAACCCTGTGGTCTAAAACTGATAATCAATGCTGGTAAACCATCTTTCACCGCTACAAAACAGTTCACCGTGTTGCTTATTAGAAAGCTGCTGCCAGTTGATACTGTGGTGTTGATTCTTTGGGATTTTTCTATTTAAAAATGTTTTTCTTGCCATTTTTTCATATCTTTTTTACTAATTTCACTAGATAACCAATAATGCCATCAGGGAGTTCATTAGGGGAATGGTTACGTTTCTTGGAGGATAATTTTATCCAGAATTAGACTAAAACTAAAAGGGAACATGGAAAATAACCAAGTACTGTACAACTCTGGAAAAGGCCATAAAGGAAAACTGAAACCAAAACAGGGCAATTTGATACTGAAATGACAAATGGATACTCTGGAATGGCAATTTGAAAAATATAAGCTGCTCCATTTACAATATATAAGACACTGACTTTGTCAAGTCCCATGTGGTTCTCTTCCATGTTATACTTCTTATGTTTGTAATTCATAGACACTATGGAGGGTGTATGGGGTGAATATATATTTGATGTCAAATTGTTGTATTGTATTTGGAGGATTTGAATCACATATTTTATCACATTTTCTACCTATGATCCTTCAGTCTCATAACTTTTCTCATCTTTGATTTTTATTTTGTAATCACAGCTTAACCAGCATTCCCTTCCTTGCTTATTGCATTGGATCGAACCATCTGAGAAACTGAAGAGGGGGTGATGAGACTGCGCTTCTTATACATGTGTCAATGTGAAACTTTTTATTTCATAAATGTTATAACTCCATTATGGACTGTACTGTAACACTGATTATGTATGCAATGTACAAGTTTTATGCACAAAAATACAAAATACAATAAATATGACTCCATTTATTTGGTATTCACAGATGTCATTATATCAGTAACTTTTATTCTGAAAGTTTTAGATGTACTGGCTGTTGGAACTTCTTCTCTGGCCGAGCATAGAGTTACTCTTAATGGAATTAAGAAGAGCTTGTTAATCTCTGCTTAATCCCCACATTAGTACCTGCACTGAGCAGTCTAATGTCGCTTTTCCAGTCTGAGCTCTGGCAGTGAGTGTGGGGACTGTGGGAATGCACCAATGTCAGACTGGAGAGAGGACCTGGGAGATCCGTTTTTCTAGAGTTCTCAGTAGAGATGGAAGGAAAAGGTGTTTGGGAGCCAAGCTGGATGTCACAGAATATCCTCCTGTATAATTCTAGATGACAGAGTAGATCCTGGTGCAGTCTGCTGAAGGAGAGGTTCAGGATTATGTGCGCTGGAGAGACAGAATTCACATGAGGGAGTGATAGTCAGACATACAGTATCTTTGCAGGTTTATGGTTTATGGCAAATTTCATTCTGTCTTCAAAATCTTACAGCGGCAGATTGAGAAGTTTCCTTTATTTCAAATACTGTTCCTGGAAAACCAGACAAAGAATATTTACAATACATGTGTGTTAAATGTTATTTTCCGTGAAAGCAGGTATACTTTATCCAGTTTCTCCTGCAGGGTGTGTCATTCACAGCACTCATTTAGTATTTGGATCACAAAAGACCATGTGTGTCCCATCAGAACGAACAAGAAATTGGTAGAATGAGTGTCTTTTCCGTTCTATTTCTGCTCCATAGTTGGAGACAAATCCTTCTGGCTGCGTGCAGATCAACCAGCATAGGCGCAGATGAAGATGGGCTTTGGGGAATTATCCGCCCACACACACAACATTTCAAATTGAGATTTTAGAGATTTTTCGAGGCACTTTACAGATGATACATTCAAATGTCCTACTTACCCTTTTTTTTTTTTTTTAAAGGAAACTGTCATCTCTGTGTGATTCATTTAAATCAGCACCCAACACTTGTCATTTCAGTTTCCTCTCCAGATGAGGAGGTGTGATGGGTCACTCGTCTTTAAGAGTGAAAAAAGTGTGGTTTTGAGCTGCTGTTGAGTCTTTTATGGTGTTTTGTCACAGCTGACAACAGAAAGCAATGGAAACATGGTCTGTGACACTTTCTGCAGTTATGTGCTATCGTTTAAGAAGTTCATTTACAAAAACCCAAATTTGTAAGGATAATATGTGAAATTGATTTTGATGTTTATCCCACTACATTTATTTAACAGCCATTGAAAGTTTCTTTAATATGATACATTTTTACATATAGTATAGCGGGGATGATTCTGCCACTTAATGAGCACTTTTATTTGTGATACACTGGTACATTTTGCAGCTAATAATTCTGTGCTTGAGAGAAATTAAGGATGTTTACTTGTAATGGACAGTGGTGGAAGAAGGCAGATCCTTGAGTAAAAGCAGTATTAATTAGTAGTAATTATGAGTAAATGTCCTGCATTAAACATTTTACTGAAGTAAACTACAGGGGCTATCAGTAAATTGTTCTTAAAGTATATAAAAAAAAACTACTCCTGCACAATTGTCACATCTTTCAGCGTGTTATTAATCACATAAATGCATTAAGCATGTCGTAATGTTATTATATGTAATAGTCTGTATTGTATGTTATTAATCTGAACAAATGTAGCGTGTAAGAAAGTGAATTTTCACATTTCTCTCTAAAATGTAGTGGAGTGAAATAAAGTGGAAATACTCAAGCAAGTACTGTAAATAAGTAAGTGTACTTAAGTATTTGAGTAAATTAAAAAGAGCATGTTTTTTTTTTTTAAATATCCCTAAATTGTGCTACACCTCATATCAAATCATCAATTATAAACCAAATTGCATCTGTGGGACACCAGTGATGATAAAAGGCAGAGCCAGGACCAGAACCGGGGACAGAGCCGGACCAGGACCGGACCAGAACCGGACCAGGACCAGGACACAAGCAGCGACCCTTCCGCGGCCTCTGGCGATGTTTACGGTCATCTTTGACAATAACAGCGAGGGAGGTGTCCGCAGCAGCTCACGGGGCCCACAGTGTGGCCGGTGCTGGGGGTGAATGCAGAGATAAGCGTATTTTGAGGAAGATGATCGGGAGGAGGAGGAGGAGGAGGAGGGCGGGGGAGGAGAGGAGAGAGGATGGAGAGAGAGTGGGACCCGGATGCTGATGCGAGTGAGACGAAGGAAGGAAGAGGAGAGAGAAAATATCGATTTACGGCAAGAAAACCGAAGGGAGGATAACACAGGGGGGCCTTTACACTGCGTGAACTGCTATCCGAAGTGAGGAGGGGAATAAGGCCGGCGACCATAGCGCGGCTTCATTTGCGGATATCTGTGTTGTGGTTTTTTTTTTTTTTTTTTCACCTGTGCTATCCGGCCGGTTTGAGGGAGGGAGGAGGAGGAGGAGGAGGAGGAGGAGGACACGCCAAAAGGAGGAGGAGGAGGAAGATGCTGTGATCCGCTACTTGCAGGGGATGTAGGGGAGAGGGGAGAGGACGGTGGGGAGAGAGAGAGAGAGAGAGGAGAGACAGGCGTAGGAGGAAGGAGGAGACTACGCTAACGGCTCAAGAAAGATGGTTGTTTGCGGGGCAGGATATTGTGGAGAATGCGGCGGCCGTGTGATATCTGGTGGGAACCGGTTTTGCGTTGCCTGGAAAGGTTCCGGGAGCGTGGTCCGTCTGTTTTGTGACAGGGCGGCGCGAGCGAGACGGGCCGTTGGGGTCGAGGCGTTGAAGCTTAAAGCTAGCCTCGCTGGTGGTGTGGGAGAGCGGCGGCGGGAGGGCTAAAACAGTAGCATGTTGTGGTCACCTGTGAAGACAGCGCTGAAATTAGAGATATTACAATTTGGTTGTTGAATATTCAGCTGGCTTAAAAGGCATCACTTTGACGTGTTTGGATGTTTTGTTGTTTTTTTTTGAGGGGGGGGGGGTTGGTCGGGACGTCAACCAATAGACCAGCGCGAATGTCATTAAATCTGTGCAGCAGACGGTGCGGGAGAAAGAACAAAAGAGAACAAAAAAGGATTGTTCGTTTTAAGGCTACTACTAACTAGCGATATTTTTTTTGTTTCTCTCGTCACTCTACTCTCGTCTAAACACCAGTGTCTATTCACTCTCTTAATATCTACGGTGATTTGGAGGCAGGGAGCATTTCACTTCGTATTGCATCACTGTTGATGCTCACCGGTCTGGTAATGATAATGTTGATCTGTCACCTGTGGGGCAAGAAAATGCAAAGTGGTCACAGCTGGGTAAGAAAATGTACAAACAACTCCCCTCATTCACGCTAAAATGTGAGACACTGAATACTACTACATCAATAATCTCAAAATCCCTGTAGGGTAATACATTCAGGATTTAGTTTTGATATAAACCTTCTCCTAGCCTTGTCAATACTGATTAAATGTCTTAAGCTTTCTTTGTATGGGCATGTGTAGTCAGACCAAACTATATATAATACAGCGTTAAAAAAAAAATCAGCCTATTTATTACTGGCAGTACCCAAAAATCTTAATTTACATCAGGTACTATCGTAAGACGCTTGATGCATCCATCTACATATACAAGCTAGCTGTCTTATGTCAATGATCAGTCGTGTATCACCGCGTCATCGTGCTTCGGAGCAAAACTATGTAACCACTTCCTGTCC